TTACAGACAAATGGTATGATGCATGTTCATTGTAGAAATAACAGAAAACACTGAAATTCAATGAGATGAGAAGAAAATGACCATTAATAATCTAGTTAAGCGAACAACAAAAAAGATATTACCTTTTCAGTGTCTATCTTTTTTTTTTTTCTTTGAGATAGCCTGTCACCCGGGCTGGAGTGCAGTGGAGAGATCTTGGCTCACTGCAAAATCTACCTCCAAGGCGAAAGCGACCCTCCCACTTCAGCCTCCCAAATAGCTAAGACTATAAGTATGTGGCACCACCACACCCAGCTAATTTTTGTATTTTTTGTAGAGAGAGTCTTGCTATGTTGCCCAGGCTGGTCTTGAACTCCTGGGCTCAAGGGATCCGCCCACCTCGGCCTCCCAAAGTGCTGGGATTACAGGTGTGAACCATTTCGCCTGGACTGTCTGTCCTAGATAGCTTTTTTTTCCCAAAGGGGACTATGCCTATGAATTTATCCAAAGAACTTATTAAAATTTAGATACCTGGGACCCAAACAGATTTAAAAAATTTTTTTTTTGACGTGGAGTCTCACACTGTCACCTGAGCTGAAGTACAATGGCGTGATCTTGGCTCACGGCAACCTCCGCCTCCCAGGTTCAGGCGATTCTCCTGCCTCAGCCTCCACCTGCCAACACACCTGGCTAGTTTTTTGTGTTTTTAGTAGAGATGGGGTTTCACTATGTTGGCCATGCTGGTCTCAAACTCCTGACCTTGTGGTCTACCTGCCTTGGCCTCACAAAGTGCTGGGATTACAGGCGTGAGCCACCACACCTGACTTTTTTTTTTTTTTGAGGCAGAGTGTCACTCTGTTGTCCAGACTAGAGTGCTAGAGTATGGTGGTGCAGTCTCAGCTCACTACAACTTCTGCCTCCCAGGTTCAAGAGATTCTCCTGCCTCAGCCTCCTGAGTAGCTAGGATTACAGGTGCCTGCCACCACACCTGGCTAATTTTTGTATTTTTAGTAGAGATAGGTTTTCACCATATTAACCAGACTGGTCCAAACTCAGAATTCTGATTTCTGTTCCAAATTTATTTATTTTTGGTGAGGGGAAGCATCTGGATGTGTATTTTGTAAAAATGGGATGATATGCTACATACTTGTTTATAACTTGCCTATTCTTCTTCCTAACAACAGATTATGAACATGGTTCCCTTGTCGATGATTTTATTTCATGGTATGAGCTGAGAGGAGTGTTAAAAAAAGAATGTATTTTGAGCATGTTTTCTAGTACTCTACAGTCCTTCTTTTTTATGGGTGCTATACCATCATTTATTATACCAATCCCCACTCATACGACTTCTAGGTTGTTTTCTGTTTCTCCTGTTATAATTATCCCCAGTTAACAGATGAAGACATTGAGGCTTTGATGTGAAGCTTCTCATATATGTGAAAAGCTAAGGCATGGTCAGAGGGGAGCTGGGGATGGCTTGGGTGCTGGCACAGTCCCTGGCTTCCCTCAGGGAGGGACTGAGGGACTGGGTAGAGGAAGCCCCCAAGATATAAGACATGTGACATGTCAGAGGGGAGGCAGGGGCCCTTCAGGAGGAGACCACCCTTTTCCAGGCCCTAGAACCAGGTGTGATTCCGGCCTAAGCCCTGCCGCCCTCAGGCTTCCCTCATCCCTTCCACTGCCCCCCTCCCTGAGCCCACTCACTGCCTGCTCCATCCTTGCCAGCTTATCAATAGGTTAAGTGGTCAGGTCAGCGATATTGACCATTTGATTAGGACCTTGTCAGATCAATCCCTGGCTCATCTCGTGGGCCTCCTCCCCTGCCCACACACTCCTTCCTGTTCTTTTGCGCCAGGGAGCAGGTGGCCATAGAAGCCTCTGCCCTCCCCACACAGCACCCCAGAACCAGGAACCCCATGGCCTTTGTGGGCCATTCCTGGTCCTCTGTCTAGGTGCCCAGTTCCTGTACCTTCTCCTTGCATCCAACTGTCTTGCTCATAGTCATTAGATCTTGTTTGCTGTATGTCCCCTCCCGCTTGGAGTCTAGTCAGTCAGAGCTGCCCCCACTTGGCTGTATAACCTTGAGCAAGTAATTTTACCTCTCTGAGCCTCCATTTTCCACAGCAGTGTCATGGGATGACACTCGCCAAACAAATGTGAGATGCTGAGAGATCACACCTGCAATGGCCCACCCTGGTGCATGACTAGCAATCAGGAAATGCCAGTACTGATGCATCTGTGAGTGCCAGTGTTTCTGTCCATCTGTCTGTCAGTGGGGGTGTATGTGGACATTCTGTGTCTGTGGGGGCAAGTGGCCCCATCATTCTTAGGTCTGTCCCAAGCCCTAGCTTGGGGCCATTCCCTGTGCTGGGCAATGCTTCAGACCCTCAAAGGAGCCAGACCCTGCCCTGCCCTCAAGGAGCTCACAGTCTGCCATGTACGTGGCAAACTGACCCCAGGACACAGCAAACCATTATGTACACCAGCTGTGAGGAGACTTGAGGGGCCAGGACCAAACCCTGAGCTTGCTTTCCCTCTGTGAACAGTGGAATCTACCCTTTATGTGGCACAGCTGCAGGAAATGTAGGCTTTGGGGTCGGACACATAGTTTCAAATCCTGGCTGTCACATCAGTTTCAATTCCTGTGCCTGGTAACTGTAGGCCAGCTGCTGCCCTTCTGTGTTCCTCAGAGTCCCTATCTGTACAATGGTAGAAGATATCTTTTAAATAGTTTCCAGTCTTAAGACACTGCTGGGAATACAGCTCCCAGATCCCATGGACTGTCTCTCTACTTGGAGATGTTGTCTGCTTGGGAGGGGGGGTCCTCTCCCCTCTGTTGGAGGGCATATTGGGGTTTGGTAACCTGGGAGGTGGGATGAGAGTTGGAGGTAGATATGCCAGGGGTAGTGCTGCCCATGGGCACCACAGCCCCAGGTAGCAGAGGGTGGGGAGACTGAAGTGTGGGCCCTGCTGGAGGGAAGCCCAAGGTAGGGGCGCTGCCTGGGGGAAGACCCCAGCCCTAAGGCACTGTCTGACTCTGCCCCCCCACCCAGGCGTGGGGATTCCCTTGCCCGCCCCACCATCACTTACACCAATATTGACGGTTAATGCCGTGTCGCTACCGTGTTCAACACTCAGCGCGGCTAATTGTTTTGACTGGGAATCGGCAAGGCGATTAAACGCCATCGATTTTGCCCTGCGCGCTGCATCGATTTTTAAATTTCCTATTGATCCTGGCCCTAAATCTCCTTAACCAAGACCTCACCGTGGAGATGACAGCCGCTGATTAGCTCCAGGGCGGGGGTTGGGGGGAAGCAGCCCCTGAGGGGGGAGCAACCCTAGCTCCTCCCTCCCCCCAGGAACTAGGGGTTCTGGTCCCCTACTGCCCCTGAAGATTAAGGCCCAGAGTGAGAAAGGACAGATGGAGGAGGAAGTGGGGAGACCCCTGGCCCTTTTTACCTCCCTTTTTCTTCTTGTTTGGGCTTCCTTCATTTCTTTTTTTTTTTTTTGAGACGGAGTTTCGCTCTTGTTACCCAGGCTGGAGTGCAATGGCGCGATCTCGGCTTACCGCAACCTCCCGGGTTCAGGCAATTCTCCTGCCTCAGCCTCCTGAGTAGCTGGGATTACAGGCACGCGCCACCATGCCCAGCTGAGTTTTTGTAGTTTTTTAGTAGAGACGGGGTTTCACCATGTTGACCAGGATGGTCTCGATCTCTTGACCTCGTGATCCACCCGCCTCGGCCTCCCAAAGTGCTGGGATTACAGGCGTGAGCCACCGCGCCCGGCCCGGGCTTCCTTCATTTCTATCTGTCTGTGTCTCCCCATCTCTTCTCTTTCTCTGTTTTCCTCTTTCTCAGTCTATCTTTTCTTTCTCTGCTTCCTCTTCTTGAACTCTGGTGCCTCCCTTAATTCCTCACTCTTCCTTCCTGCAGCGTTGTGGAGAGGCTCAGCAAACCCTCTTTGTGGATGGGCCTCCTGACCTCTTGCCTACCTCTCTGTTCTCTCCATCTTGGACACAGCAGGTAGAAGGACCTTTCCAAAGGCAAACGGATTGTATCCCCCTCCCTCTCCAACGAAGCCCTGGCTTCTTGGACTAGGCACTTGAGGCCCTGCAGGGAGCAGCCCCTGCAATCTGGAAGCCTCGTTCTTCCTCACTTCTCTCATTGAACCCCGGACAGGCAAAGGCCTGGCATTCTTTTTCCTTGCACCTGGTTTTCTCTGACTAAAGTTTGTCTTCCAGGTTCAGCTTGGGTGTTGTTTCCTCCTTAAGTCTTCTGTGATCTCACCCAGGATGCCTGCAGCACCCTCTGCTTACCCCAGCGTATTGGCATTGGCTCTTCCTTCTGTCTCCCCAACTTGCCTGTGAGCCCCGTAATAGAGCAGAGACCTTGTCTAATTCATCTCTGTCCCCCACCACACTTGATTCAGAGCCAGAGAAACCTCAATATTTGTTAATGAACTAAATGCATAAATGAATGGACAAATGTACAAGTCAGAAATATCATTATGAGTTTTATTTTTATCTCCCACAGCACATAGGTACCTATTAACGAGTAACCCTTTCAAATTTCTTTCTCATTTGATCCTCCTAGCAGTCCTTTGAGATAAACAGTTCAATCAATTAATTCCTCTATTTACCTATCTATCACTTAGTCATCCATGATGCACTATTGAGCATCTCAAATTTGCCAGGCCCTCTGCCAAACACAAAAGCTGCAAGATGCAGTCCCTGTACTTTAAGAAGCTTCCAGTCTGATGGGAAAATGAATGTTCCACAATGGCAGGCACCAGTATGCGCATTTATGAGATGGGGACACTGAGGCTCGGAGGCCAGAAATGACCACTGCAGACAACAAGTGGCTGATTGGACCTGAGTCCCAGGCACCTGACTCCACAGTTCGCCAACTGCAGCTCCTGATGGTGTGACAGGAAGAGGGTTCCTCCGCTAGAGGAGTGCATCATCCTGCATGAGGGTGAGATGAATCCTCTGGGATGTTGACTGCAGTCTCCTCTCTTTCCAGGTTCTCGACTGGACTGGGTTGGTGGCCTGAATGTATTAGCTTCACTGCGTCTGCCCAAGAGGTAAGGACCGTGGCCTCAGAGTTTTGCTTAATGATGCACTAGGGATCCTGTTTTCTCACAGAAGTCCCTGCTTTCCCATCCTTGTCTCTGGCCTCACCCTGGGGATTGCTGCCCCTCTCCACTCTGGCCACTCAGAGATTAGAATCTGACTGCTTTGTTTTCACCGTCCATGGATCCTGTGGCTTTTGTGTCAAACAAGTGGTTCTTGGTGTTTGTGACTATAGGTGTTTCTGCTGGTGAGCGTTAGGACTTAGTAGGAGTGAGATAGGGGTAACTTGGTGGCTTAGATCACAGCTTCGGGGTCAAGCACACCTATGTTTAATCTCTTTTCCTGACTTCGAGGGACTTGGGAAAGTTGGAGCCTCCATTTCCTTATCTGTAAATGGGAATACTAATAGAATCCACCTTAAGTGCCATCCTGAGAGCAAAAGGAGACAGAGGAAGAAGAGCCAGGTGGCTGAGTGATCCTGGACATGGCTCAGTTTCTCCATCTGTCAAAGGAGGGTAATTAATAGGATTTACCTTGCAGAGGTGGTTTGACGATGAAAGTACGTATTTCCTAAAATTGTGTAGCTGGAGGAAGTGGGAGCTTGAAATATGGCTGGAAGCATTCCCCTGAACAAAGAAGGTTTTATGAAGCCCCTCCCTAAAGCCCACTGAGACTCTCAGGTAGAAGTGGTAGTTATCTTGTTGCCCACCTCTGTGGGAAGCAGGGGCTCTGGCCATTTGCCCTTATGTTTGCTCCAGTTGGCTTGATGAGGCCCTGGCATTGAACATCTAGGGAGCAGGGTAGACAGGACTTCTGGGGTGGAACGCCCTCCTACTGCCACCCCTATTCCCACCATCGAAGCTTAACCCACAGGCCTCAGGACCCCAGGGAGGCCTCTGGGTGCCCTCGTTGGACTCCTACCCAGGTGTGCTTTGCTATACCAGGAATCACAGACTCATTTTAACAAGCAGATGGAAGCTGTAGCCCAGGGTTTGCAACCCGGTATTGTAAGGACTGTGATGGACTGGAAAATGCATGGGTTGGGGAGCTGCTTTTTAGCTCCACTGACTGTTCTCATGCACAGATGCAACCCTGACTTACCAGTTTTTGATTTTTCAAGAGAAGCCAGAAACCCAGACTTGTGTGTGACGTCTTTCAATCTTTAAATGTTGGTGACTAATGCAAAACTTCCAAAATCTCCTTTGGTCCAAACCACATGTTTCAGGCAACCTTTGGCCCATAGATGTCTAGTTTTGCAACAGTACAGAGCATCTCCCAGGAAAACACATACCTACGTTTACCCAGTTGTGCTACACTTTGGGATGGTCACAGATCCCCTGAAGCTCATTCATGGACCCCTGTTATCACTGCTGAGGAACATGAGAATATTCATTCCAGAACATGTCATTTCTCTAGCGTGCTTTTCTCCAGGGAACTGGAGTTGCAGCTTTTCCAGGAATCCTCACATCCTCAAAAAGAGGGTCAAGGAGTTTCCACGTTGCAGAATTAGTTTGGGAGCTAGAGACTGGCTTTGAGGAATGCCTGAAATCTGGGCTGAAATGTTTCTAGTTGGGTAGAGGTTACAGTCAGGTCTGTGATTTTATTTCTTTGCCTTCAAATAGATGTTCATTAAATATCCATGATTTCATGGACATATGGGTGACTGACTTGGTAACACATGTAATCATAATAGGGCTGGTACATTCCATTGAAGAAACTGACATTTATTAGGGGCCACTTTTGTGTGAGGGCCTGTTCTGGGCACTTTGCTTTTTTTTTTTTTTTTTTTTT